CATTATTTATTTTTATTTTATGATGTATTTATGTGAAAGGCAGAGTAAGAGAGAGAGAGAGAGAGAGAGAGAGAGAGAGAGAGAGAGAGAGAATATCCTCCACCTGCTGGTTCACTCTCCAAATGGCCACAACAACTAGGGCTGAGCCAGGCTGAAGCCAGGAGTCAGGGGCTTCATCTGGTCTCCCACATGGGTTCAGTGGTCCAAGGACTTGGGCTGTCCCCCACTGCTTTCCCAGGTGCATTAGCAGGGAGCTGGATTGGAAGCAGGGCAGCTGGGACTCAAACCAGTGCCCATACAGGACGCCCGTGCAACAGGCAGGGGCTTGACTCCATATGCCACAGCACTGGCCCCACCACTATTTATTTCTTCTTCTTCTTCTTTTTTTTTTTTTTTAAAGGCAGAGTTATATATATATATAGAGAGAGTGAGCGAGCTAGAGGTGTCTTCCACCTGGTTCACTCTCCCAAGTGGCAGCAATGGCTGGAGCTGGGCTGATCCGAAGCCAGGAGCTTCATCTGGGTCTCCCACACGGGTACAGGGGTCCCAAGACTTGGATCATCTTCTGCTGATTTTCTAGGCCATAGCAGAGAGCTGGATCAGAAGTGGAGAAGCTGGGACTGGAACCAGTGCCCATCTGGGATGCCAGCATTGCAGGCAGTGGCTTTACCCACAATGTCACAACATCAGCCCCTATTTTTCTTCTTTATTTAATGGCTTTTCCTTCCTGCTGACCAGAGAGATGTTTTAAATAGAGTTGAATAGTTTTTAAAAATAGAATAGTTTTTTAAAAAATAGTTCAGAATAGTTTTTTTAAAATATTTATTTATTTATTTGAGAGCGAGAACAACAGACTGAGATACAGAGATGTCTTCATTTGCTGGTTTACTCCCCAAATGGCTGCAAAGGTCAGAGCTGGGCTGATCTGAAGCCAGGAGCCAGAAGCTTCCTCCAGGTTTCCCACGTGGTTGTAGGGGCCCAAGGACTTGGGTCATCTTCCACTGCTTTCCCAGGCCGTTATCAGAGAGCTGTATTGGAAGAGTAGCAGCCGGGACATGAACCGGCATTCATATGGGATACTGGCACTGCAGGTGGAGGCTTAGCCCACTGTGCCACAGCACCGCCCCAGGATTGATTTTAATTCTGGTTACCCTTTTGGAAAGGATAATAGAAACTGAAGTAGGGGAAGTTTCCAACTATAAAACCTTCTTATCTTGCTTCCTTATATTATTTCTTTTCTTAAAGATTTTTTAAAAATTTATTTGAAAGGCACAGATGGGGAGACAGACAAAGAATCTTTTATCCACTGGTTCACTTCCCAGATACCCACAACAGGCAGGGGTAGGCCAGGGAGAAGCCACGGGCCAGGAACTCTGGGGCTCCCATGTAGGGGGCAGGAGGCCTAGTGCTTTGGCCATCATCCACCACCTTTTAAATGCGTTAAACAGAAAGCTGGGTTAGAAGTGGAAGGTAACCGGGAGTTTAGCAAGATACTCTGCTAGGATCCGGAGTGACAGCTAAACTGCTGTGCCGCAGTGCCTGCCTGCGATTCTGTTTCTTCTCCTCACTTGCTAGTAGTTCAGATGTGTAGATAGCAAACAGAAGCAGGAACACAATGTGTGTCGCACACCCGGTGTGATAGGTAAAGCTGTGTGTGCCTGTGGGCCTCCGTACACCGCTGTCTCGTCAGACACAACTTTCCTGTCCCGAGCAGAGACTGCAGACCGCTGGGTTTGGGGTTGACATCTTCCCCAGGCCTGTCACTCCAGCTTCCGTGTGTCTGTATAAATTAGCTCTGTTCAGTTGTATTATGTAGAATACCATATAAGTTTGGAATGAAACAACAAGTGTTCATTCTTTTCCACATTCTAATTCGGTCTTATTTTTTTTAAAATTAGTCATGACGAGTCAAAGTTTATTTTTATAGAAAACTGGCCACTTGTGGGTCTTCCTGGACATGAAAAAGCAAAGAAATGGAGAGCAAATGTCTGTTAGGACTGGCTCTGGGTGTGGTCGGCAGCTGTGGTGGAAGAGACCCTGGGGAGGAACTGAGAAACCTGAGAAACCCCGGAAGGGACTTCAGCTCACCCGCTTGGTCTTCTTTCTCTGAGCATGGCTTTTGATTGGCTAAGATGGAAATAGAGCTACTTAATTGATAAGGGCTTTGTGGTGATCAAGTTAAATCAGTTGATTGAAGAACTAAGATATGTGTATCTTAATAGATGTCACAGATTTTACAAATTAAACATTAATTAGACATGTTTGGGCTTTGTTTTATTCCCAAATTTGATTCCTTTTATTGACTCTATTTGCATTACGGAGTGCAGTCCGTGTTTATACGCATTATAAACTCAAAATGTTGGAGAGCTTCTTGATCTGTGAAGAGATCAGATTTGTCTAATGCAGCCAGCCCTGTTTTCCATCCATTTGAAAAGATCGGGTGAATGTTTTCCTCAGGCAGAGCCAGACTTCTGGAAAATGGAAATTACTTCTTTATTACAGCTGTGGGCTTTGTTTTATCTGCAAGTGCCGTCATCTCCATTCACGGCTTGCTGACTGTCCTGCCTCGGATTCCTTTGGGACTTACTATCTCCATCGTGTTTCTCTTGCTGTTTCTTTTTCTGTTTTGCTATTCCTAATCCTGGTCTATTCTAAATCGGTAGTGTGTGTGCATGTTCATAGATGTGTGTGCGTGTGTGTATGTGTGTGTGCGTGTGCACAGATGTGTGTGTGTGTATGTGTTTCCCCATCTGCTAATAATTGATTCTTGAGCTTTCAAGCAAGTGCAAAGTCACCATCTTCATTTTAGACTCAGATTACAGATATTTATATGCAAGAGAAGATACTGGCTTCCCTCCTGGTCACTGTAGGGAGGTGGGCAAAGTTCAGGCTCTTTGCTGCCGCTTGGTTGTGCGTTGTTGAGTGATATCGTTACAGGAAGTTTAAGTTTCTGATCTTTACATATCTCCTTATTATATGTTATAATCAGTAATTCATGTTTTCTAAATTGTACTCCATATCCTGCTACCTGATAAATCCCAACATTTTGAACCTCTTTTATTTTTAAATGAGATGCTCTGTTGGGAAATTGCCCCTCTGGTTGATTAAATTGATAATCTTCCATAATTTTTGAAATTTCCAGTGCCTTTCAATCTTGGATTTAGAGATCAAAGAATATTATTCAGTGAGATATAAATATTATACAATAATGTCTTCTATGAAGCTTACTTGAAGTATATTAGGTTAATGGCAATATTAGTGACTATATATAAGTAAAACAAAATTGGAAGCTACTCAAGGCAAGGCAACATAAATATGTCATAAATAATAGTATGATTAGAAGATTCATTCCTCAAATCACCATCTAGAATATTCTAGCATAATCCGTAATGATCAGGTACAGCTGTCTTTTCTGTAGCTAGCAGGGCTTAGACTTTGCTTGCACTTGGGAGAGAGGCATCTCTGAACTCCATGAGGACCCACACCACCATCACAGGTTCATATCAGCTGTCCGTTCATTGACTGAACAGTCACCATGATTCTGCATTCCCAAAGGTGAATCCCTCCCCAGTATGATTGCTAGTCATGTTGTAACATCTGTTCTGTGCTCCAACTCCAGGCCACAAACCTGACAGTTTCCCTGTGGGTTACAGGTGGTAAGGTTTGATGACATGGAAACAGCAATCCTGTGTGTGTGTGTGTGTGTGTGTGTGTACAAAAAGGCTTTGGAATGATAAGACTTTATGCATCTCATTGACCTTAATAACAAATCCTTCAGTGCTTTTGGGTAGAAAAATGAGCCTTAATTAGTTTTATATTCAAGGCACATTGTGAAATAGACTTTCTTTTCCAGATTTCCATATGTTGATTTACATGCATCTCCCACTATAATATTTTTGCAAATAGTGTCAGGAAATTTTAAAATCTTTTCTGAGTTTTCCCCTGATGAATATTAGCATCATTAAGTGCACATTTTTTGTTTGAAAGCCTGCTTTTTCATGCAGTAAAATCAGTGGTGTTGGTTGGAAGCTTAAAGTCTGAAAGGAGGAGCTTTGAGAACCACTGACACACCCGTAGTAAGGACATGCATAGACCAAAGCAGTCACTGTTGATGGACACACATCCCCACTATAATGATTTGCAAAAAGGAGACCCCTTCCTCGTTACTGAGGTGGAAAATGAATTGTTTTACAGTGTTCTCTGCTAGGTTGTTCAGATGAGTCCAGGTAAAAATCTCCTAATTCTGTGGGTGTGTATCAGTCTCTCACTGAAAAGAAAAAATCATATAGCCATTTCTCGAACACCAGAAATGGTAAGAAAAAAACCACAACTTGATGGACGTCGTGTTTAACGTGCAGTATTCAGCCTAAACCTACAGAAAGCATGTCTTTTGAATTAAGAAAGAAAAATGCTGTAGTGTTTCTGCCGATGAGAGTCCAGTTCAAACCTTCTGCAGTATGTAAATGGCACCTCCTCTGGCTGTGCCAGTGTCTTAGCCGAGTGCACGCTGCGGGGTGGGAGGAAGCTGCCTCTGATTTAGGTTGTGATTTTATTTGTGGAAATAAACCAATCGCGGAGCTCCAATGATCTTAGCGATGAGATGATCAATAGCCCATTACTGGATAGAACAGCGGCTACAGGAAGTGCATTGAAGATTCTAATGCATGAATTATGCATGCGGTCCTCCTTCTTTAGTCTCCAAACAGAATGACAGGGTTTGTGAAGTTGCCTCAGACAGTTTCTAGCGTGAAGTGACTGCAGTGAAATGCTTAATATTTGCAGGCATAGAAGCAGCATTGACTCGGGCCAGCGGGATTTGGAGGATGCAGATCTTCCCGCTCCGGGCACAGAATGCTTTATTTGAAAGTGTTGCTCTGTCGAGAGCCAGCTTTGCAGTCATCTAACCTGCTCTCCCCAGAAGGTTGGCTGAAGGATGGGAGCGGCTGTGCCTGCTTCTGAGGTCACAGCTTGAAGTCTTTTTAACTTGCTTTCTGCTGCAGGAGAGAGGCGTATCCGGGGATAGCTGTCTCTGCACTTACTCTAATGGCCGCTTTGCAATAGAGATCTTACCCGGAACGACCAGAACGACAGCTAATCCAGCACGGGAGGTAAGTCCAAGGTTTTTGTGCAGGTTAGGTAATCCTAAACCAGAATGTGCTGAGCGCAGCTAAGGGCGGTGCGGAATCCCAGAGCTGACTCACCTCCTCTGGCCAGCCCGGCTGGGCTCCCAGTTGTCATGTTAATTGAGTGGTGACTTTGTTGTACCTGTTTGACGTGTTGGAGGGTAGGGTATTTTAGGTTTCATGCTAAGGCTTTTCAGGAAAGCCGCAGAGCTCAGCCTAGTGTGTCTTCAGTGGACGGAGGACAGCAACTGGGGAGGGCGGCGTGGAGTGAGCTCAGTAAGTGAAAATTACCTCCTTGTGGGCAAGTTTCGGCAGGGCTGTGGCATTGCTTTGGCTCGGATCGTTTCCTGAATGCCGGCGTTTCCGAATTCTACCAAAAGATGGTGGGTGAAACCAAGAATGCTCGATTCTCCACCCAGAAATAGAGGCGAGCGCAGAGGTGTTCCAGAAATCCGTGTTGCATGCAAATTCAGCAGATGGAATTAAAACAATTCGGACTCCCTTGTCCTTGAGAAAAGACCTTGTCAGAAAGGAGATAATTTGGATTCTACCTATACGAGTTTTGTTCTTTTCCCTCATTTAAAGGAATGGACAGATGGTGGAGTATGAAATTTACTCCAAAAATGTTATGTTTATTTTTTCATCTTTTAAAAAAAATAAGGTTATGCAACGATAGAACCCACTACATAAGAAGTCAATAAAATTTGCAAAAACTCTGCAGAACTGAAAATAACAGGGCTTTACTATTCTATTTGCCAGAAGTCTTTGTGAATTAAGCTGCTTGCTTAAATGCTTAGGAAATAATTAATAAGTATGCAAATAATGTTCAGCATGATCTGAATTCCTGAACATCTCTTTAGCGTGAGAAGATAGCATTAACAAATATTCGGTAAGAGACTCTAGATTAAAATTTTTCAAGGATGCTTTTGATAGTAAATTTACATTCTTGGTGACTACCTACACATCCAATTATTGTAATAAGTAATTGATAAAATATGTACAATATATTTGTATTTACTTCTTTAAGTATGCTTATTGATAATAAATTCTAAAATGTGATAAATGACTAAGATGGATAATAGATAAGGCCAACTATGCTTTACAAGATTTGTTTAATTTCATTTTGCAAAGGAAAGCACTATGAGAGCAGTGCTGACAAGAGCATGGGCACTGCTTGGCAAGCGTTCCCCACTGCATTTCAGCACATTTGAGAGTGTCACTCCATCACCGGGGTGTGCTGGCTGTGGGCTGGTAGCCTGGAAGAGTGTGTTTCAGTCTTTGCACTACCCAGTGCAGGAATACCAGGCAACGCCCACTGGAGACTTTCCTGAGAGAGCGAAGGGTGGGGGGGCAGGCATCTCCTGTTGCTGAGTCACTCTGCTCCAGTGCCTCCTGGCAGAGGGGCCATTAACCCCAGCTGGTAACCAGAATCTAAGGGAAGGGAGAACCCAGGGGGACGGAAACTCAACAGTGAGTGTGAAAGAGTGCACACTGGATTCTGAGTAATGAGTACACGGGTGCTGCTGCTTGTTGGATGTGGCTGAGGTGCGGGAAGGACAATAAAAGCCTCAGGCGGGGAGAAAAGCTCATAGCAATGGCATTAATGGACTGCATGGGGGAAATTATGGGAATGAAGGGACCCCAGAAGCTCCGCACTTGTGTGCATCTAACCCTCCACGAAGTCCACACCTGTGAGCATCCAACCTCCATGAAGACTGCACCTGTGAACATCCAGCATCCATGGGGTCTGCACCTGTGTGCATCCAACCTCCATGAAGACGACTGCACCTGAGAGCATCCAACCTCCATGGGGTCTGCACCTGTGTACATCTAACCTCCATGAGGTCTGCACCTGTGAGAATCTAACCTCCATAATGCACCTGTGTACATCTAACCTCCATGAAGACTGTACCTGTGTGCATCCAACCCCCATGAGGTCTGCACCTGAGAGCGTCCACCCATGATGTTGGGTGAGACCTCCATGAGGTCTGCACATGTCTACATCTAACCTCTCCTGTCTTCTCCCCAGTTTCAACCCAAGCCATTAATCAGTCTGCTTTCAAATATTTGATAGTCAGATAAAGAATCATTCCTAGATTGTAGGGGGGCAGTCTGGAATATGCCCACTTACCACTTCTCAAAATAGTAATTGTTAATTGCTATAAGCTAGTAATTGACAGAAATGCAAAAAAACCCACGGCAGGTTTTGAATACCAACCTGGTTGTAAATGAGGTGGAAGACCAGAATGAGCTCCATAGTGGTCTCACGGGAAGCGAGGAGACGGACGATGCTTCCAAGAAGAAGCAGGGAAAGGACCTGAAAGGACAACCCAGCAATGCAACATCACATAGAAGATTTCTGAAAGAAAAATGTCCTGAATTTATAGTTGATATATATTATATATGCCTATTAAAATCAGTATGTAAGAATTCTGAAATATTGTGCTTTTCCAATATTAATATAAGGCTTTATAATCTACCTTAAAAATGAGTTCTGGGCTGGCGCTGCGGCTCACTAGGCTAATCCTCCACCTAGCGGTGCCGGCACACCGGGTTCTAGTCCCGGTCGGGGCGCCGGATTCTGTCCCGGTTGCCCCTCTTCCAGGCCAGCTCTCTGCTGTGGCCAGGGAGTGCAGTGGAGGATGGCCCAAGTGCTTGGGCCCTGCACCCCATGGGAGACCAGGAGAAGCACCTGGCTCCAGCCATGGGATCAGCGCGGTGCGCTGGCCGCAGCACGGCGGCCATTGGAGGGTGAACCAACGGCAAAGGAAGACCTTTCTCTCTGTCTCTCTCCCTGTCCACTCTGCCTGTCAAATAAATAAATAAATAAATGAGTTCTAAATTATCTTCTAGTAAAGTAAGAAATCAGTTGACCAGAATATTTTCAAGTGGCAGCTGTAAACATCCCTCTAGGGAGTAAATTATGATATAGCTAAATGGGATTAGTGCTTATAATAAATTAATGTGTATTTATATGTGCATATATGTTATATGTATTATACTTAACAGATTGTGGGAAAGTTATGATTGACTTACGGAGGATTATGAAGCTTAAAAGCATCTGAAGAAGCCGGCACCGCAGCTCACTAGGCTAATCCTCCACCTGCGGTGCCGGCACACCGGGTTCTAGTCCCGGTCGGGGCGCCGGATTCTGTCCCGGTTGCCCCTCTTCCAGGCCAGCCCTCTGCTGTGGCCAGGGAGTGCAGTGGAGGATGGCCCAAGTGCTTGGGCCCTGCACCCCATGGGAGACCAGGAGAAGCACCTGGCTCCTGCCATCGGATCAGCGCGGTGCGCCGGCTGCAGCGGCGGCCATTGGAGGGTGATCCAACGGCAAAGGAAGACCTTTCTCTCTCTGTCTCTCTCTCTCTCACTGTCCACTCTGCCTGCCAAAAAAAAAAAAAAAAAAAATATTTATTGAATTTATACAGATGTCATGTATTTCATATATACAGATTTAGGAACATTGTGTTACTTCTCACCCTACCCTCCCTCTAGCCCACATTCTAACCCTTCTTCCTCTTCCCTCTCCTGTTCCTATTCTTAATTTTTACAAAAATCTGTTTTCAGTTTACTTAATACACATAAGGTTAACCCTACACTAAAGAGTTTAACAAATAGTATTAAAAAAAAAATTGTTCCTCAACAGAAGAGGCAAGGGTTTTAAACAATCACTGATTCTCAGAATGTCCATTTCTCTCCAATACATTACGTTTTAGTATTCTATTAGTTACCCCAGATCAGTAAAAACTTAGGATAGCTGCCTTCCTGGGACTGCCTTATTTCACTAAGTCTAGTGGTTTCCAGGAAGAAATCCTGTTTTCCTGGTTACTACTTGCTGGATCTTTACTTAGTGGCGGGTTAAGGTTTGGAACAGGCACCAGCAGAACAGAGACAGCTTCTGTGTCTCTAGGCCTGCTGATCATTCACATGGCGAGTCTCCTGCACTTACCTGCCTTGCCACTCCTTCCTGTGGTAGCTACACGTCCTCCTCGTCCCTGTGCCCCTGCTACCCTAACACTTCTTTGTGGGTCCCTTGTAGGTGTGCTGAGCCCCTTTCTCTTGTGATCTGTGAGTGTGGCACGCTGTCTTCAACAGCAGCCATCTGCAGCCCTGTTGTCCTTACCAATCTGTATCAATTCAAACATGAAAAACACCTTCTTAATACTGGTACAAATTAGCAGAAAGAAAAATACATATATCCAGTTCCTTAAATAAATCAGTTAAGGTTTTTTTTACTCATTACTCTTTATTAAACTGTTATTTTATTTCGAGTTTAACAGTTGATTATGGCGGCCAGCACTGTGGTGTAGCAGGTAAAGCCACCACCTGCAGTGCCCGGATCCCACATGGATGCTGGTCCACGTCCCAGCTGCTCTACTTCCCATCCAGCTCTCTGCCATGGCCTGGGAGAGCAGTAGAAGTTGGCCCAAGCACTTGGGCCCCTGCACCCACGTGGGAGACCCAGAAGAAGCTCCTGGCTCCTGGATCTTGGCTCCTGGCTCCTAGCTCCTAGCTTGGGATCAGCTCAGCTCTGGCTGTTGCAGCCATCTGGGGAGTGAACCAATGAATGGAGGACCTTGCTCTCTCTCCCTCTCTCTCTTTTTTTATTCTCTCTCTCTCTCTAACTCTGCATTTCAACTCAATAAATAAATCTTTAAAAAAAAGTTAATTCTGAGTGCCGAGATGCAGAGAGGGTGTGTCCTCCAGAAATATGAGTAGACTATGACAAGCTTTCACTCTTTTGACAAGGTACATACATATTTACACACAAACATAAACATATACATACATACATACATACACGTATACACATAGATCTCACGTTTTACATATTTTCCTGAGAGTGCTGTACTTCGGAGTGTATAATATCTGCTATGGGAAAACCAGCTTCTACATTGCCAAGCAACTAAATCTGTAAGGTGGAAAACCAGTCTTGTCTTTATTTTGGATACTTACTCAAACTGTAAATGCCCACTGCAAGTGTT